AAAAAAAACGAAAAAAAAAAGGAGAGAGAAACAAGCAACACAATTCTGTGGTTGGAATTCCTTATACAGAGAAGAGATCGGTGGCCAAATCCTTAAAGAAGAAGAAATCCTACTCCAATAAGGAGTTGCAAATTCTCTCTGAGTTCTATTCAAACAATGAGATAACAATTTTGTTTATTCCTTCCTAAATTATGAATCCTACTACATTAAGGAATAATTAAGTCAATTCCTACTAGGAATTGCTTGAACTGATCTGTTTGTTTTTAATTTGTTTGGGTTAGTTCTTTTATTGCTTTTCTTGGTCGTTCCTTTGTGTCTTTCTATTTCCTTTAACTTTTGCAGATTTGTTGGAGTTAGATTGCTGCAAAATAACTTGAATTGAGCTTGTTTAGTTCAATAACGAACTTAAAGAGAAAAGTTGAGTGAGGGAAAAAGGCAAGAAGTGTGAGCAACATTTGAGAGAAAAGCCAAGTTCTATAGTGTTCGAAACATGAGTGTTAAGTGCCATTCTGTGAGAGAGTGGAGTGAAACACGTAAGGGAGTGTTGTGAGGTCCTTTTATTTTCTATTTCTAACATTCCTTGCAGGTTTCAATCATGTCAACCGGTGATGATAGAAAACACTAAGTGGATGATTCCTTCATGCTCAAAGCTATGCAACAACAATTTCAGAGGCTAGACATCATATTTGGTGAAATTAATGACAAAATGGAGAAGCAAGATGCAGCCATTGCCAAGTTATACCAAATACATAATGAAAGTCGAAATTTGCATAATCACGATCTTGATGACAATGATGAAGATGCATTCAACGATGATGCCCAGAACTCAAATTTCAACATGGACAAATTTATAAGAGGTAGAGGGAGTCAAAGATATAAATTTAACAATGGATACCAAAATCTGGCAAAGTGGGGAGATCGGCAATATCATGACTTAGGCAGCATCAAGATGAAGATTCCTCCATTTCAAGGCAAAAATGATCCAGATGTGTATTTGGAGTTGGAAAAGAAGGTGAAATTGGTGTTTATGATTGCCATAACTATTTTGAGGAGAAAAAGGTAAAACTAGCAGCGGTGGAATTTACTGATTATGCTGTGGTGTGGTGGGATCAGCTTGTGCTTAGTCGACGTAGAAATCGAGAGCGTCCTGTTGACACTTGGGAAGAGATGAAGGCTGTGACGAGAAAACGGTTTGTTCCTAGTCACTACTATCGCGATCTCTATCAACGATTACAGGGCCTTACTCAAGAGTCCATAAGCGTTGAGGATTATCACAAGGAAATGGAAATCGCAATGGTTAGAGCAAATGTGGAATAGGACAGAAAAGCAACCATGGCATGGTTTCTGCATGACTTAAATCATGATATAGCTAATGTGATATAGAGCTACAGCATTATGTGGAATTAGAAGATATGGTGCATACGGCGAGGAAAGTAGAACGGCAACTCAAGCGTAAAGGAGCCACCAGCAGAACTGGGCAAAATTCAGGTTCCTCATCTTCTTGGAAATTGAATTGGAGCAAAAAAAAAGAAAATTCTACTTTTAAGCCTAAAACTTCAGCATCCAAATCAAAAGACATTGGCAGCAATGAGAAGAGTAAAACTGACAGTATGCAAGATAGAAACCTAGACATTAAGTGTTTTCGATACTTGGTAAGAGGGCATATTGCATCGCGATGCCCTAATAAGCACATGATGATCTTGAAAGAGGATGGAGAAATTGAAACAGAAGGTGAATCTGATGATGACTCTATGCCACCATTGGAAGATGCTAATGATGGCATGGAATATGCTGTTGATGGAGAACTGCTTGTCACCAAGCGTGTTTTAAATGTGCAAGCCAAAGAAGATGACGAAGTACAACATGACAACATATTTCACATGAGGTGCCATATCAAAAATAAGGTATGTAGTGTGATTACTAATGGTGGCAGTTGTACTAATGTAACTAGCACTGTTTTGGTTGAAAAAAGCTTAATTTACCTATGATGATCCAAGGCCATATAAGCTGCAATGGTTAAATGATTGTGGAGAAATTAAGGTAAATAAGCAAGTTCTGGTTTCATTCTCTATCGAACGATATAAGGATGAGGTACTGTGCGATGTGGTTCCCATGCCTGCTGTACATTTACTTTTGGGGAGACCATGGCAATATGATAGGAGAGTAACACATGATGGCTTCAAAAGTCGCTATTCATTCATCATGGAAGGGAAAACAATTATTGTTGTACCATTAAGTTCAAAGCAGATTTATGAGGATCAACTGAGAGTAAAAAAAGAGAGTAAGCTGAGAAATGAGAGTGAGGTTGAGGGTATGAAAAACAAAGAGAAAACGGCAGAAAAAGAGTCCAAAAAGAGAGAAAAGATTGAGAGTGTTGAAAACAAAGATTGAGAGTGTTGAAAACAAAGAGAAAATCAGTGAGTGTTTATGCAAAAGAAAGTGATGTTAAGGCTGTGTTCTTTGCAAAGCAACCTATGTTTGTGCTTCTGTATAAAGATACTTATTTCAACACTAACGAACTTAATGATTCTTTGCCTAATGTTGTTAAATCTCGTGCAGGACTTCAAGGACGTGTTTCCAGAGGACATCCCTAATAGTTTACCACCAATAAGAGGAATTGAGCATCATATTGACTTCATTCCAGGTGCAACAATTCCAAACCAACCAGCATATCGAAGCAACCCTAATGAGGCAAAAGAACTTGAAAAGCAGGTTGAAGAACTTATGAAGAAAAGGCATGTGAGAGAAAGCATGAGTCAATGTGCAGTTCCAATGCTACTTGTGCCCAGGAAGGATGGGACTTGGCGTATGTGCGTTCATTGTCGCGCTATCAAGAAAATCACTAAGAACTTGAAGAACTGGGAAGAGTGTTTGCCGCACGTTGAATTTACTTATAATCGGAGCATCCATTCAGCAACTAACAGTTTGCCATTTGAAGTTGTGTATGGTTTTAATCCACTCACTCCTTTAGATTTATTGTCTTTACCTATTGACGAACAAGCTAGTTTGGATGGGAAAAAGAAAGCTGAAGTGGTTAAGCAACTACATGAGAGGGTGTCACAAAACATAGAGCAACGAACTAAGCAATATGCAAAACAAGCCAACAAAGGACGCAAGAAAGTTGTATGTGATCCTGGAGATTGGGTTTGGGTGCATAAGCACAAGGAGCGATTCCCTACACAAAGGCGTTCTAAGTTGCAACCAAGAGGCGATGGACCATTTCAAGTGATTGCGAGGATTAATGACAACGCATACAAGTTGGAGCTTCCTTGTGAGTATAATGTTAGTGCTACTTTTAATGTTTCTAACCTTTCTCCTTTTGATGTAGGCGACGATTTGAGGACAAATCCTTTTGAGGAAAGAGGGAATGATGGGAATCAAGACGACAGCATATCTATTACGTCATGTGATCCGTTACACACCCAAGGAGGAACAGTCAAGCAAGCTAGAGCTAAGAAGATGCGTGAAGCTTTAAATGGCCTTATTGAGCAGATCTGGGTTGAAAACAACATACAACAAGCAAATCGAAGCTTGGATAATTATCAAGGCATGGTAAACATCATTCAGGTTCAAGAAAAACTTAGTTGAGGTCATTTACACGGAACTACATAGTTTGCGTCAAAATCACACAATTCTGCCGCAATTTGTAGCAAACTGATATTTCGTATTATTTTAGGTTATTTTTTGTGATTTTCACATTTTTTGTATTATTTTTGGACTGAACATTCACTTATTTGAAGCCCAATTCGTTGTTATTAAGTTTAGGACTTAAGGTGTTAATTTCCTATTCTGATTAGGATTTGTTTTCTCTATTTAAAAGGCTTGTAACCCTAATGGGGAAGAGTATATTGAATCTGAGTTTTTGAAAGATTTTTCTCTTTGGTTCGTTTCAGAACTTTACAGAACTTATCAAGATTATTTTTGTGGCGTTCTAACCTGACTTATCATTCTCATTCTTAATCGTTCGAGAGTGTGACGTCAACCAACTTTATACCTTTGGTTTTTGTTACATCATAGACAACAGGTTAAGGTTTTTACCTTTGGTTTTTGTTGCGACATAAACAACGGGTCAAAGTCCTATTATAAACCTGATTTTGCTTTCCTCGAGTTTAGAAATCTCTTGTCGTGCTATGGGTCTCATTGTTCTCTTTGAGGTTCTCATCACTTAATCACAAAACACAACATACCCTCAACCTGTCCCATGTCAATTCCTACTAAAGCCCACTTTTAATGGGGTTCAATTGAAAAAAACCAATTAATTATATGAAAGAAACTAACTTGGTTTCCTCTGCTTTCAAACACTGATTAGGAGAAAAGCTTTGAGCTTTTTATATGACCAATCCTATCACATCTATATTATATTCTGAACACCATAATCTTTTATGCACGCTTCACCAATTACAATTAGCAAGTTGTTAACTGTTGACTACATGATGAGAACCCCAAAGAGAACAACGAGACCCACAGCACGACATGGAATTTCTAAACTCCAAGAAAACTAAATCAGGTTTATAATAAGACCTTGACCCATTGTTTATGTCGCAACAAGAACCAAAGGTAAAAACCTTGACCCGTTATCTATGACGCAACAAGAACCAGAGGCATAAAGTTGGTTGACACCACAACCTCGAGGTATTAAGAACGAGAATGATAAGTCAAGTTAGAACGCCACAAGAATAATCTTGATAAGTTCTGTAAAGTTCTGAAACGAATCAAAGAAAAAAGTCTCTCAAAATCTCAGATTCAATAGCCTCCTCAATTAGGGTTACAAGCCTCTTTAAATAGGGAAAAGTAATTCTAATCAGAATAGGAAACTAACACCCTAAGCCCTAATCATAATAACCACGAATTGGGCCTTAAATAAATGAATGTTTAGCCCAAAATAATATAAAAAACATGAAAATCACTAAAAATAACCTAAAGTAACATGAAATATCAGTTTGTTACAAATTGCGACAGAATTGCGAGAATGACGCAAACTGTGTAATTTAGCACAAATGACCTCAATTAAGCTTCTCTTGAACCTGAATGATGTTTATCATGCCTTGATAATCATCCAAGTTTCGATTTGCTTGTTGTATGTTGTTTTCAACCCAGATTTGCTCAATAAGACCATTTAAAGTTTCACGCATCTTCTTAGCTCTAGCTCGCATGACTGGACCTCCTTGGGTGTGTAATGGATCACATGACATGGTAGATATGCTGTCATCTTGATTCCCATCACTACAGGTAGCCCATGTGTGGTAAAGAGATACAGCCAGCAAGAAAGTCAAGTAAAAGAAAATGTGAAGAGAATGTAGATTCTTGGGAAGCTAACTTTTGTAAAGTCACATGATGAAGAATAAGTAGAAAAGTAGAAACAAGGGTGTAAGGGAGCTAGAAAGCCTGGGATCCTAACAGGAATTAATAGTTTCTTGCAACAACAGCTGACAAATTTAACATAGCTATGGGTTGGTCAGGTTGGTATGGAGATTGAACAGAACTTGGATGCATCCATACTCATTAACAACATCACAAAAACAGTTTGCCGCATCAGCTAATAAATTTAACGGAGCTATGAGTTAGTCAGGTTGGTATGGAAGTTGAACAGAACCTGGATGTGTACATACTCATTAACAAAATCACAAAAGCAGCTATCAAATAGAGTATTGTAACTTGTTATCATTTCTGGAAAAAGATGCAGAAAAAGGATTCTAGTTCCTATTACTGTTATTTTCGTGCCCTCAAAAAACAGACTTCTTGTAAACAATCTTTCTCATAATCTGAACTTAACTGGATTTGGAAGATAAAAGTATGCTTTAAAGGGAAACTGCTACGTTGTTTAAGGAGAAGTCTTTCAGAATAAATAAAAGAAATGAACTTGATAGGAAAGATTTAGAGTAAAACCTGGGTATCAAGAAGTATTAT